TTTTTATTTTATTTTTGACCTTCATCAAAACAGACAATAATACAGTGTATTAACATATTGTGACAGGTGGACTTGACTGCTTCATACAAGTTCAATGTACGTGTTTAATGCATAGAGTTTGGCAACACACACAAACTAAACACACATGTAATACACTAGTAATGTTTGGTGATTAGTGTTTTCATGCCAAAATAGATGATAGGATATTAGTACCGACTAGGCCTAACGTGATAGATAATGAGAGAACCGAGCAAATAGACCCAAGGATCGACCGGCCCTAGGGGTCAATCGGTCTAAGGGTCGAGCCCTGACCTCAGTATCAACCCCCGACCTCGACCGGGGATCAACCGGTCCAAAGGGTCGAACCTTGACCCTAGCATCGACCAGCGAAGGGGCTCGACCGAGAATGTACCGGCCCGATGGGTCGAGCGTCGGCCCTCGAGTTATGGGGCGCTAGTTACTCGGTCAACAGACGTGGAGGGATTTATAATCCCGAGAAGAAGACCGCAACAGCTAACTACTATTTATATAAAGGGTAAATTCCTCAAGGGTAAGGTAATATCATTACTGTTACTTTCAATACACACAATATTCTTCTACTCCAAGATGACTTGGACGTCGGAGGGTTTTGTGTCGGAGCAATTCCGGCGCTTTGCAGGTACCGGCGAACTCGCACGCTCGGACCGGACCGAATCAGCCAATCCATAATTCAAATCGGAGAGGACCATTTGAAAAACTAGAGTCTCTTATCTTGAACCATATCAATAGAGTTTTTTCTTTTTTTTATGAATTTAAAAGAGTTTTTTAGATACCAAAAAATAATAATAATAACATTAAATTTGTACTAGAGAATTATAATTTTAGTTATATTTTACATATGATCAAATCAAACTACTAATTATTTGCCAAACACCAAAGCATATTAGGTGATCAAAACTATTAATTTCAGCTATCTGTTATCAGCTAATTAAATATCACTAGTTGAATCAGCTACGAGCTATCGACTAAATGTCAAAAATGGACTCCATCAATTAAGAAAATATATATTATTCAAATTAATTTTACTATCATTAAAATACAAATTTTCAATAGAAATGTCAACTTTCAATTGGAAATTGCTGTACAAAAGTTCTAAAGTTCCATGAAGATTTTTTTTTTTTTTTTTTCAAGATTCCTCTAATTGGAGAAAAATGAAGCCGAATAATTTTGATTAGGAATATACTACTATTAATTTATGGGGAAAAGCCTAGACTTATGGAAATTTAATTCTATTTTATTTCCTTAATAATCTATTTAGATTCAGTTAGAGATTAGCCTCTCTAATTATAATTAAATTGTACACGCGCACCTACTTTGTCAGACTCGTTAAAAACCTTTCTCGACGGAAAATAGTTTTAAATTGCTACATGTTTGACAAATTTGAATTTTTAATTAAGAATTTGAAAAATTAATATACTAATTAATTAATTAATTAATTAATTAATAACTACGCCTGAAACGTACAGCGATTGGTGTCAACAGTGGAATGCGACGTACAGCCATGATTTAAGGAAATCTCGACAAAACTAACCACGCTTTTTATTTATTTATTTATTTATCTATTTAGAAAATGTGAGTAAATTGAGAGTCAAGACTTAGGATTACACAAGAAACTTCGAGGAACTCGCATTATTACATTGCAATAATATAATTTGGCATGTAAACAAGTGGAGTCAAACTCAAACTTTTAAGCTATGTTTAGTATAGTTGATAGCTGATAAGCTAGTTTATAGTTTGTTAGTAATTTTTGAGCTTATAGCTTATAACTTATAGTTAAAATGCTATCTTATATGATAAAAGTGTTTGGTAAAATTAGCTGATAGGCTAGCTGGAATAAAAATTTGAACGAGCTTATTTGAAAAGTTATCCAAATAAGTTTATCAAATAAGCTCGGACTTAAAAAAAAAAACTCGTCCTACCAAATGGAGCTTATTTGAATACATAGAGCTTATAAACTATCTAAATAAGCTATAAGCTTGTTTATCTATACTTATATAAAAAGTCATCCTATTTACTAAAAATAATAGGTAGAAAAGTCAAAGGTAATTAATGCATTCTATTTATGTTTAAAGTATTTTATTTAATTGTTTTATCCCATAACATCGTTTCAATACAACTTACCATTATTTTTCTACTGTGATTAAAAATCAAATTTCACGTTAAAATCTTGTGAAATTATTATTATTATTATTATTATTATTATTATTATTATTATTATTATTATTATTATTATTATTATTATTATTATTATTATTATTATTATTATTATCACGTCATTGTTAAATAAAGTTGAACATTGAATAATTTGAATGTAAAAATTGGACCATTCGGTGCATATATAGTTGTAAATTAATTTTACTACAAAAATATATTATTCGACGTATAGTTGGTGCATAGTCTTATAAAAATTAAAACTTAATATTTAAAAGACATTAAAAAATTGCAAGGGATTTGCATATGTGAAATTGGCCATATATGGGAATAATGAAATTGGTATAACCATCAGGTAAACTATGATTCAAAATAACAATGTATATATTCATAACAAATTTTTTACTATCTAAAAAATACTAAACAATTAAATTATCAAATACCACATTTAAATTTTATTAAAGTTTGTATTAAAAGATGTGGAAAAAAAACTTAAAACCCTATTATTTTTTAGACTTAACGTGGATTAAAAAAGTAGAAAATAAATAATAACCCTATTAATTTTTAAATTTAAACAAAAAAGTTGTGAAAATTATTCATTTAATATCTCCTGTCCCATGCATCGCAGGGATACGTACTAGTTTGTCCATCAAACATAACCTTAGTAGTAAAATAAGAAGTAAAGCAGTTATTAAGTCAAATCAAACTCGGGCTTGTTTAGACCAGAAATTCTATGGTGTCACATGTAGCACATGTTATGGTGCCACAATATGATGTGGCACATTATGATTGGTGCCACAACATGATGTGTGATGGTTGTGGCACCAATCATAATGTGTCACATCATGTTGTGGCACCATAATATGGTGCCACATGTGGCACCATAGAATTTCTATTGTTTAGACCCAGGCACAAAAAGTTCATAAAAACACATAAAATCGTTAGGTTCAACCATGACAAGTTGAGCCAGGTTAAATGAGGTCTAAACAAGGTCGAACCCTAAACAACTAGACTAAATTATACGAGTCTTTAACGAACTAAAGTTTTGACAAGTCGAGCCAAGCTAAACTCGCGAGAGGGTTGTTTTGGTCAGCTTTAGTTATCCCACATAAATTGGAACTAATTTATTTTGATTGTTAACTAGCTATAATATCTTAATTGAAAAAATATAATGATAGTTAATCTAGAGATCGTATAGGGAAATGTTTTTATTTTCTAAATTTAAATAGCGAACTATCAACCCGTCTAACTCCTCAAATATAATGGGCTGGGCTTAACACCATGACCAGAAAAGGCCAGGGAACCTGATGGGTCTATGAGTTAACGTGGGCCTAAACGACCCGATCGGCAAAGTTGGGCCCAGAGGCCATAGCCAACACGTGTGTGGTGAATACATCCACCACCTCATAACGACCTTATTACAACAAACAACCTAAATAACCGAAAAAAGCACCACCATGCCACGCACGCCCACTCATCCTCAACGCGCGTGCTCCCTTTCCCTCCCCTGAAATAGAGTCAGTGGCCAGCACGCGCGTGGATATAGAGTGAGCCAATAAATACTCCTTTTAAGTAAAGAAGCGTACGACCGCTAGCCGCTCATATGTTTTTCGCTCGCAACAAATATAGAAAAAACAAACAAAGACCAAGACAAAAGGTAATAACTTGGACCAAAATATATATTTTATTTTATTTTTTTTTTCAAAATAAATAATTTATATTCGAGATTTTGTTTTCCCAGAAATATAGATTGATCTATGAAAAAGCTATTTTAAATGTATTTACATACCAAAAATATATATTTATTGATATTAACAAAAAAAAACAATAAGCAAAAGAAACAAAAGAAAATGTGCATTTGCAAATTGCAATTTACAAAGAGATGAACACAAATATTTATCAGTGCATGCAAAAAAAAAAAAAAAGCAAGAAAACACACAAACATATGCAATTAGTTTTTGTGACAGTAATTAATTAGTGATAATCAGAAAAAATTAAAGAAGACTTACAGAGTACTTATATTCTTGATCAGCCAATTAGCAGAGCTTTTGGGCAAAGAAATACACTGGAGAGAGAGAGAGAGAGAGAGAGAGAGAGAGAGAGAGAGAGAGAGAGAGAGAGAGAGAGAGAGAGATGTGTGAGTAAGGGAGAATTTGGGGGGTGGGAGAGCAAATATATATATAATTATGAGCGTGGAAAGGGAAGAGGGTTTATGGGCCTTTATTGAGATATTGTCAAAATAAGGGTCAATATTTTGTAATAAAACTGTGTGCTAGAGTACTGCCATTAATATTATTGGATTTCTTGAATATATGGAAATTAAACTTAATTTTTGGAATGAATTGAATAATGAGATTGGGACAATTATGGACAAGGATTGATTACAGTATATTTAGAGCATTTCCAAGAGACCTCCTATTTTAGACTTCCTATTTGGAGAAATAAGGAGTCATCTTATATCCATTTGCTTCATATTTTCTGTTGTCCTTCAAGAATCTCCCTATTTTATAATTTGAATCTGAACCAGGCCCACAAATCTATCTAAAAGCCCACTTGAAGCCCAGACTAGGTGGACCTCTCGAGATGCCGACGATGGAGTCTTGATCGGGCAGCGGCGGCGGCATCTTGTTTGCGGCAGCTGTGGCGGCGGCGCCACCTTTTCGTCCTGGGACGACGCCGGCACCTTCCATCCGGTAGGGCGGCGGTGGAGGGCGACGAGGGGGAGATGAAAAGATCATGAAGGAAAAAGACCGCGAGAGGTTGAAAAAAAAGAGCGCGTATCGAAAATAATGGCGGAGAGATGAAATGAGTGGTCGTTTTTCTCTCCCCAGGGATGAGGAAGAAAAGCCTCTATTTGAGGGCATCCTAAAAATAGGACCAAGTTTGGGGAAACTGTTGGAGACAGTTTTTGAGAGAAAATCCCTATTTTTTAGATAAGAAAGAGGAAATGGGAGGCTTTTGGATATGCTCTTTAGGTAATCATATTTTTTCTATTAATATGTTATATATTGAAGACGAAATAATAATATAAATGTCATAGGATAAATATGTTTGTGAAAAATAATGTATGACAAAACGACTCACATGATAGTAGTAACTCTAATCATTTTGTTTTGAATAATCTATATATATATATATAGGTAAATTACGCCAAACCCCCCTGTATTATACGAAATCTGCATCTTATCCCCTTGTATTTTAAAAAATACGTCATACCCCCTTGTATTATACTTTTGATTGCGCACGCTCCCCTCTCCTCGTATAATACAAGGGGTATGACGCATTTTTAGGGGATAACGCGCAATCAAAAATATAATACAAGGGGGTATGACGCATTTTTTAAAATACAGGGGGATAAGGCGCAGATTTCGTATAATACAGGGGGGTTTGGCGCAATTTACCCCGGAATCCTATATGGCAAAATTACATGCTTCGTTATTAGGCTTGGGTAAATTTTAATTTAATTTAAAACCAAAAATAATTAGGTTCGGATTACCATGAATATGTTGATTATTTATGGTCATGTTACATGTATTAATTTGCATTTTAATAGCATTCCTTATTATAACTATTGAATTGTATATATATTTTAAAAGTTAATAATTTTTGTATTTTTTATCAGTTTTACATATGTAATATATCAAATTATTCTTCTTTTGATGAGTTTCGATTTAACATCCATATTATATGTATAAAAAATAATTTATATTTATTTTTATAACAATAATAAAATTATTTTTAATATTAATTAGAAAAATAAAATTATTTATCAACTAATATATTTATATTTCAAGTAGTTATAAGATATAAGTTACAAAAAACTAATATAATATAACATACGTAAGTCATAAGTAATACATATCATTCTAAAGTATATAGTAATATATTTTATTTTTGTAAAAAAATAAACTAAATTTAATATAGTTTTCTCATTAATTTTAAAATTTAAGAATAACTTTTTAACAAGCACCCGTGTAATACACGGGTGTTGTACTAGTGTGTGTATATATATATATATAGGGTTGGGTTCCGTGAGAATGAATCTCAATGAAAGAAATAAGAATATATCATATCCATCGGATCAAATGATCTAGTGGCTAAAAAAAATAACATATTTTACACTAATTAAGGGTATTATAGACATTTACCCATATATCAAACATCAACAAACACTGGGCCCCACCCCACACCTTAGACCATCTTTAACGGTAATCCATTGAATGGGTCACCAATTAAAAAACATAAAAAAGCCAAAAAA